GACAACTTCGTCCTAAATTATGCCCGGAACTATGACTAAGAGAGTGAGACATGAATAAGCTGGTGGATGCACCATCTTAATCCGACTGCATTTTCCGTAACTACATCCTTATCGTATTAAGTATAATTGGTTATGGCCAGTTTTGATTTCAGATACCTACTTTAAATACAGTTACCTTAACAAGGCAGCCAGTTACTATTTGCCTGTCCCCAGAAGGCCTGTTCTTTTAAAGTGGCAAGCGTCCGACGGGCGTAATTTGCAAAACATGCAGGCATACTAAGCTGGAATAAATCGACAAACTTTCGAAAAAAGGAGGGTTTATCTGTACACTCCTTAAAAACGGGCCCTAATATGTGGACTGTATTATGTTATAGAAAGGAGTGCAGTAAATTCCCTATCTCATGAAACGTCACCTGGAATTCTGAAATATGTTTTCGAATCAAATAAATTAATTATGTAAGGTTGTGATAATGACAATCATACAGCGTAATTCCAATATATTTTAGTCACGTCAGGATGCCCTCTTTTAAAAGAGCTTCTTTCTGACAGTCAATAAAAAATATTTACTGTAAAAAGTGGCTACATATGTACTATTAATTTACATCATGGATTTTGATTGCCTTTATAAATTCAAATATATTTTATGGAAACCATGCACGAAAAAATTATTTGTTGTAGCCGTTTGGTAGAAAATTCCGCCTACTTTAAATTCTATACTTAAGAAGGAGTATCCTTCGGTTTTAAAAAAGTTCCTAATTATGATTTTTTACGATTATTAGGTGATCATTCATTAAAAATCACATCCGTTAATTAATTAATGCTGCCTATAATGTGTACAAGAATTTCCAAATCTGTTGCAATATTTTATGTAAACTATGTGACTTCCCTTCAAATCGTAGGGAAGAACGTACTTTAGCTGAAACAGGATATACACAGCACGCAGTTTTTAAACTTTGAATTCAAATGATGCAATCAGTAGATTTCAAAATGATTGAGCAATTTAGGAAGTTTTAAAACCAAAAGATATTCCTTTTTCAGGTATACGATTTATAGTAGACGCAATTTTCTACCAGGCGACTACAAGAAATAATATATTTGTGCATGTTCCCCATAAAATATATTTGGATTTATAAAGGCAGTCAAAATCCATGATGAAAATGCATGCTACTTAAGTAGCCACCATTTACAGTGAATACTTTTTATTACCTGTAAGAAAAAAGCTCGTTAAAAAGCCGGCATCCTGACGTGTTTATAATGTATTGAGATTAAACTGTATGGTTGTCATTGTTACAACCATACGTAATTAATATTTTTGAATTGAAAACGAATTTCAGCATTTCGGTTGACATTTCATGAGATAGGGAGTCTACTATAAATGCATCGCTTACATGATGGGTTGACCTTTAAACATGGACAGAAAATTCACTGATCCAGTTTGACTTTTACCTGTCCTATGTTAGTGAGTGTTGAGCTTTCTTAATAACCGGTGGACATAGCAGTATTTCGTAGGATATTACACTTTGTCACAACTTACGTGTTATGCACACTAGCACCGTCCTTTGGTGAGACGTAATAAAAAGATGGAATTGCGTCTTTGGGCACCTCAACCTCGAATGAAATCTCATGTGTTCCCGCTGGCAGAGGTACTTTGCTAGGCGTATCCACTATTGGCACGACACGGAATTTATTTGGTTGAGGCTCTGTGCCCTGGGTTTTATTTTTGTCAGTCGGTTTATGTGGGAGTATTTGTTTGTTTAGAGATCCATATCCGTCCAACTATAGTACAAAAAACGTAAGAATAACACTGGGGTTAACTTAAAACACGACTCATAAGAATGACCACAAAATCCAATTTATAAGTTTTTTTCCCGGAGCTAAGGCACGTTGTATAGGAAATTAGGGTCATGTTTCCCTAAAGTTCGGTAGACTTCCTATCTCATGAAAGATCGCCCGAAAATCAGAAGTTTCATCCTAGCAAGCAAGCGTATTCAGTAATCCATTGTCGGGCCAGTACATTTGCAAGGACTAAAATAGTTGGTTATATGTGGGATAGTGTTTAAATGTTTATCGGGTAGGGGGTGGGGGTGAGGTGTAATTAGTCATTGCGTTGTTCCCTCGTCTCACGCATGCGGGCACCAACCTGTTGAGGACGTTGTGTCCAGCGAGCAGGGAAGAGGGGTGAGTGAGCCTTCTCATGGTCGGTGTGCTTAGTTGCGGATGACGTCTGTATCCTCCTTAACTTGACATTTATACCTAGAAAATGTTGCAGACATTGTGAAGGAAGTTACTTTAAAAGTCGGCATCCTGACGCGAGTGAACTCTCTTGAGATTTGGTTTTTTTTCGCTACTCAGTATTACAGTCCTACCTAAGTACATTGATCGAACACAAAACACATTTTAAATGTTTGGTTAATACCTCAAGAGATAGGAAATCTGCCGTACATATCTGATAATTTCGAATTTTGTTACTTATTGAGACATTTATCAAAAAATATTCCGAATCTCTGAAACGGGGCTCCTTATTATGAGTAACCGTATTGAGGCTTCTGTCAGTACCTAACAAATGGTGCACATTTTGACCTGTAATCTGGACAGTCAGGGCTCCAGGTGAAGAAGTTCCGTCTTAGATTCAGAAGGAAACCTCGACTGCAAGTTTCGATAACCTGCCATTGACCGCGCTTATTCAAAAATGACGGAAAACGTCCGTAAAATTTGCAAAGGACAGAGGCTGCCTGAAGTCGCTTTAATAACTACTTCACATTTACCTACTAGAGGGCAACTCTGTCTATCTGATAACTCCTTTGGAAGCCTAAGTGCGATACTGAAACGAGGCTGGGTTCTCTCATGGAATATGAGACTCCTTCAAAATATGCTTATCCATGCTTAGGCAGCAGTTCTCGTTCATTGGAAGACCTATCTATGGCACATGTTCATTGGGTCTTCAGATATTCCCCTGCATGGCATCGTACCGTCTTGCTTAAAATAAAGAACGACTGCGCAATTTTTACTGACATCGTTTAAGCAAAACGGCGAAAACGCACTCAATGAACCATTGGCGTCCATTTACGTTAAGTCACGAAGGAACAATTCGTTGAAAACATATGACCGGCCGAATAATTGTGCACCGATAGAGGTGGTTCCAGTAGCTGCTTTTAGCCTACGAGGCCGTCAGTTTTGTACAAGAGGAACAGTATGTACCATTGGCGAGTTTAAGGAAGTGAAAAATTCAGGATTTAAATGTGGAAACAACAGAACTTGCCGGTTTCACAGTTCCCTCCTTATCCACTCCTACCATCGTTCGGTTGAGGTCAATTGTGACGTCATCGAGTTTCGTAGGCTCCTTAAGGTCGAGAAACACGCGACCAGGGAGTTTATCACCCTGCGTGACTTTGTTGTCTTTGAATTCAACTTGCATTTCATTCACGGATTTTGCAAGTGGATCATTAGGATCTGGTTTGTAGACACCACTGACTGGCCAGGGAGCGGTATCGTTAGTCCGATATTCTGAAAAATTAAAGCAGTGATGTACTATTTAAAAAAAGGAGATGATATATTTGCGCAAAACAGGAAGTCCTCTTGCCTTTGGATTAAAAATACGCACTTCTTGGATAAATAGGAAATATTAGCATTTCCTAAGTTAAACTCAAATGCGTTGTCAAGTTTAAAACAGAAAATGAAGTGCGTTCGGTAGTTAATATTTATTTTCATGATTGCTGTTGGCAGCGAGAACTGAACGAGTGCCCATTTCGCCAATTTAAAACAAAGGTGCGTTATTCCTAAATTCTTGTCCGTTTCATAATCTGATGTAGTAGACCAACCCACAATGTGTCAAGTGTTAATCTGACAGTAATTATTTTGATATTATTGAACGGTAATTGGAAATCATATTTTTTTTATTTTCCATAAAGTTTATGTCATTACTATATCACTTTCAAGAAACTAAAATCTATCTTACGTACTTTCTTAGAGCGGATATAAGAATATTTTATGACCTACAGACAAAAACATATTTATTTGGCCGGATTGTGAAGACCTCAGTGGCCGCGGACATATTATTATGACGTATTCAAGTCTACCAAACTACTTTGTTAATTAAAGTTTATGCTTCAAGTATTTTATTTGTGTTCTGCGTAGTAACACGGGCATGTAAATCGCTATTGAAGTAAATGTACGAAGATGCAAATTGTCTTATGTTCGGTTTCTGGAGCGGCCTAAAGTAAAAGAAAAGAGGAAAGAAATTAAAAAGAATCTTTCAACATCGTAGCTGGTACAGTTGACCTAGGCTAAATGATGTGGTTATGTGGAGTACCGCGCAAAAGTAGCTAGTCGACGGCCAAACGACACAATTATTGATGTCATACACGTTCAAATTTCAGTTGTTTTGTGCACACGCCAGAACAAGTCATTTCATCTGTTGCTGTTATCCCATCTCTGGCAATGGACTTGTGCAGGAGCCTGAAAGCCCAGACCAATATAATAATGATTCCGGTGTTCGGTAGACCTTATTCTTCTTCATTTTTTCTTCTTCTCGAAATTTAGCCAACTGTTTAGGGAATTTACTTAGTTTGTTTGTCTGTTTCGTACAGTGATAACCAAGAATTAATTACAATATCAACATGGGAACCAGAAGCGTATAAAAATCACTAGACAATGGAATTAGTAGTTATTACTAAGTATACATGAGTTTGGCATGACAGTTTTTTCTTTTGAGTCAATTGGGGTATACAAAGCTATTTTCAGTAAATATCTCAAGCTTGAAATAGGGTTATGTACGTCATTAAATAAACAGCATTTCTTAAAATTATAACGACTAATGTTTTTATTCCTCTACTCATCTTTGTCTTACATTTAAGTGTTAGCTGTACATTCGGCCGCGTATACTTCTAAGTTCTTAGTGATGGTGCACAATTGAAGTCCTTTATTCAAGATAACTTAGACAAGTTGCAGTTGTTGATTACCATGTTGTGTAATTGCAAAAAATTTTAAGTATTCATGAAAGGTGACTGTTGATTTCCCGTTTTTCCAGTCTTAACACAAAACATTCGATAAAAAGAACTACTACTACGTTCGAGTAAATCCGAATTTAGTAAACTGAGTTATCTTAAGGGTACCTTAAAAGTAGCCATTCCTTAGATGAGTGCATTTTGTGATTACGAGTATGTTTGCACATATAAAGGCTAAGCAGAAAATATTTGTGTGTTAATTAAGAAGCACTGCTTAGATAGATATGCCGTTTGTTTTATTTTCACTACACACATTGAGAGTGGTGCGTTACTTCTCAACTGGAAACGACATATCTTACAGTTTGCTAATTGCAAACACCAGTAAAACTGTAGGTTCTATTTGCTATTTTAAAGTCCTCGCAAAGCTCCGCGATTTAATATGTAGGTGCAGTTTCAAAAAAAGTTTAGCTAGACGCAACTCATATACAGGTCCGTGTAATAAAGGATATCGTTTTGCAAATTTATTAAAAAAAATTTATCAAGTGCGCTTTTTACAAGTAGCCGGACATATGTTAATTCAATAGAAGATATCTGGGTGGGGCAAGCATTCCATATGAATAAGCTGCTTAATGAGCACCCCTACAGCGACAATCAGTCTTTGTTAATAAAGCCAAAGCGTACGTCAAGCCCAAGTCCCAGTAAAGAATTTTGGTTACGGTAAGCCATGAGCACTCACCTGGTCCTTTCGTTCATGAAAATCGCCTAAATCAGATAAAATTTTAATAACCAGGTCTTTCGCCTTTTCGTCATTGTTTCAACAGGAATATTAACAACATTATATTGCATGAGATAACGCTTTGAGTGGTTTTAATTTCACTTCCGTACAAAAATGGTGGTCGGGTTTCTCCACACATGTGTACTGAAAACGAATATTTACCTGTCGTAACCAACATATCCATCTTCTCTTTTTCACATACGACCGGCTTCTCTTCTTCTGAAACTGTTAAGTACAATACTTCTGGACAGTACAAAATTATATCCCTCATATCCATTAGATGGGAACAGGAACGAAAAACATTACTAAACTTAAGCAAAGGTAAAACTGATATTGCAACACTAAACTATTTATTCACAATACCATTTCAATACATACCGTATATTTGACAGTAGTAGGCACACCGTCAATCGTAATTTACAAATACGTAATCAGAGACTAAAGTTACTAGGATTATAACTCCACTTTTTCAGGCGTATTTATTTACTAGACCAAGTGCTATAATTATCTTTCTGGTGTTTTACATAAACATCCATAAATATGTATATATAGGTTTACTGTACTAGTTTACCCTTAAGAAATTGCAAAAGGTTTTGAGAAAAACCAAACAGCCAAATAGATACAATAGTGTTTATATGAGACTGGGGCAGGTAGATAAAGCTTACCTTCAGGGAATTTTTTTCCCACGCCTTCAGTTCTTTTCCTAGGAGCGTAATGTCTTAAGACAGATAAAATTCGATTTTTTTGGATTTTGCTGAGAAAATCCAATGGACGTATGAAAGTTTAAGTTTTCTCCAGGCACATACCAGCTTTTGGACCCTCACGGACTTTGGTCTCGGGTTTAACCTTGGCTTTGTCGTCGGCTGTTCAAATAAGAAAATGTCGGGTGAAATAGCTTGTTATTTTAAACAGCTGATTACATATTCCGAATAATGCATGTTTAAGAAATCTGTCGTATCTCCTTTGGTTTGCTTACCAACTTAAGTAAATCCAACGAGTTCAGCGTCCTCAGTGATGCAGTGGTCCGCTCTAGAGCAATAAAGAACATTTAACGACAATGGTTGCTTCTAGAGTACAGCGAGTTCATGCTGACGGTCGTGTCAACAAACATGTGGGAGAATAAAAGATTTCAACGAATAGTGCAAAAACAAACTTGCATTAGTCGCGAAATCGTGTTTTTATTGAAAGGACAGTTGAGATCATATGTCGATTTCGTTCCTAAATTTCAATCAGACCACACTGGCTCTCTCTTTATCTGAACCTTTTGCAAAGGTTTAAGATCCCTGTCAGTAAACTAAAACCAAACTGATATTCTGACTCCCTTTCTGATAAAAGGAATCAGAGGCAGTCCATGAAGTTAGTCAGAAGGAGAAGGTGCCATCTTTGCATCATGATCGTTTAGCGGACTCGGTGGAATAGTGGACAAAACACATCGACGGAAGCCGAAAATATTTCACGAGCCCGAATGCCTCCTAAAATGACCCGCTGTTTCAATATTCCAAAATGTTTTGCTATATACTCACGAAATGCGTTATGTAGTGTTGCAAAATAGAGGCCGTTCCTTTCAAAAATAGCAGCCCTCTTATGCACTATGATTCAGGCTGCAAGTTTTCATTCTTCAGCTTCATTCGCTTTTGCGTTTAGTACTTTACTTTCCTCTAATGCTCATTCTTCTACCGTGAATCTGTTAAGCAAGCGTTTGGATTATCGCTTGTTAAAGGCCAACCACCACCCTCGATTGCGTCATTGAGATAGGTATAAACATATTAATGCCTTGAGTTCAAGTGACCATTTTGTTTACATTAATGTTGTTGGTGATTAAAGGTGCATACTGATAATGCGGTGTATCGCCAGTGCCCCAGTCTTTTACCAACTAGTTTTCATAATGAGTTATATGCATTCTGTACACAAAAAGTACGTGTAATAAAATCCGCAACTTAATTGCCGTTTGTGCACGACACTACGGACTGGGTGGAGTTTTTATGAGTTTCACTTCAAGAACAATGATATTATGCTGTATTTAACTTGAGATCAACGATCTTGAACTGTCGGCTATGTCTATGAAAATGAGCCACAACCGCAAAAGTCAAGTTTGGACAAGCCACTGCATTTCGTAACACCTTGGGTCAACTACGTAAACAAGTGGTTTAGACTTTAAGATTAACAAGAGGGTTTATAATGAGTGCAAAAAGAGATTAAGCTAGTTCTGGCAAACGTAATTTTTCACGTTAACAAAATTCATCTGCAATCGGCGTCGTGGCTTTAAATGATAGTGTATTTGATCTTTAACTTCCCTCATAACTAACTGTGCTATCACTGAAAAAAATAATTGGGCATAAGTTCAATCTTAAATGTGATGCAACTACTTTAATCGGCATTTATGACTGTTAACGCAATAACTCCCTAATATAAATAAGCCAATAACCGGAATGTGTACGCTCCCATACGACCTGTGTGCGGTAATCCGCGTAATTTTTGCCGACGGTCGACTACAGAATTATTGCAGTTCTTTAATGAAGCAGTGTTTACTAAATTCTCGTGAAACATAGTATTTTTTCACTATTTGGCTACGACTCCTATAGACAGCATACAATTTGCCATTTGAATTTCAAAAACTTCTGTGAAAAAAAACGCTCTGGTCTAGGTAATACAGGAACATTGTGATTGATTTAAAGTATGGAAAAGTACTATCATAAGTGAGAGAGTACTGCGAATAAATCACGAATAGAAACAAAACGAATAACAGAAGATAATGCAAGCAATAGATGACTAAGAAGGCAAAATAAGATCAACATCTATTTTGTAGGCACCGGCATTTTATTTCTGGTTACTATAAGTTTTAACTCACTTTGTATTGGAGCGCAGGTGAACACACGCTGTTGGACGGGTGCGCAAGGTATTTGAACACCTAAACTTCAGAGAAAAATAACTTGATATTACATTTTTAAGCTCTTTTGCTGTCAAGTGTTTTCGCAGCGCCGCAGTAAATTATCGACAAACGTTTACGTTGAAAATGTGCTTTTAAGCAACTGAGTCATCGACATATTTCGGACCTCCTAGTCTCTCGTGTCTTTGTCCGTAATGTCCTTCTGTACATATATATACATGCTCTCCGTTCCTCATCTCCAAACAAGATGAAGAAGGCCAAAGCCAATTCACCTCCAGCAGGACGACCAGGATGCAGGCGTAACACAACCTTAATACGAGACATGCAGCAAGACGAAGCAAATCACGGCTAGGGTTTCCATGGTAGTGCACAATTGTTTTTTTTATATTTACGTGCCTACTCAATGGATTTTTGTTAGGGTTAGGGTAAGGACTAGTGTTAGGGTGAAATAGTGCTATCGTATGTAAAAAGCCCCAAGTTTCTGTCTAACGGGAAGCGTGAGAGTACGCATGTAAATATAAATAAGAACATTCGTGCGCTACCAAGGAAACCCCTGCCCAAATCACTTCAAGCAGGAACGACTACCTCGCAACCCTGATGAGGGAAACAAGCATGTTTTTAAAACGTCAACAGCAATGAAATTCTGTCCACGTAGGCGCCTTGTTTTGTTCTTCATCTTGTTTGACTGATGCAGAACAATATAGTTTTTTCTGTCCTCCTATCTCCAGTCATGGTAATATATTAACATATATATTTCGTCTTTATATGAACTTAATGAATACATTTAATCCATATTTAGGTGATGTGCTTATTTTCAAAACCCCTGATCAGTTTTGTGACATGCTGATCAATATGCTGGTTGTTTGCACGAAAAAAGAACACCCTAAATTGGAGACTGTTTCGTCAGAAAATGGGAGGGTTCCCTTGAAATCAATCATTTACTTCTTTACATCTTTTAATTTCAAGCAAAGTAAATTAGATCAGCAACACATTTTTGTTCCTATAGCAATCACAAAAAGTAACTCACAACATGAGGTCTGTGGTTTTACTGCCTTTGTTCTAGCTTCACAAGATGACGTTCTCGGCTGACAGCACTCTAAAAAATTACACGCAATCAATTTTTGATAATTTATTGCCTAAAAACGCACAAAAAGCATTAAGACGACCAAAATAATGAGTATCAATGAAGACGTGTATTTTGAAGTAGGCAAATGTAATTTCACTTTTGCGCCAGTACCACTATTCCACTCAAAGAATACGAAAAAGTTTTACAATCTACTAAAACCGCATCATTTTGCTGAATTTTAGTAAGTTCAGAGAAGCAGACTCGATGTTGTATCTTTAAACAACGGTTTCATAATCTGATATAAAAAGAACAAGCAAATGGCTAAATAAGCCTCTCTAAAGGGCCAAAGTTTGCACATTTTATTTAGAATGTACAACACATTCGGTATAACAGTGAATACCATTGAAAATCTGTAGAACCACTAACACATTTGTACACTTTAAAGACCTACTGTGCACCAATCCCAATCAACTAATGCGTTTTAACGTTCTGGTCGAAAAACGGCAAACAATATGTTAAATTTTAAAAACTACAAACACATGCTAATGGCCAGTGACTTTAAAGATGATTATTTTCATGGGTATAAATGGAACAAATCCCCGACCTAGTGAAAGTAAAGTGCGTATAGCAAAGGCCGTACAGCACAAGGATATCTGCAATTTTATGAGCATTCTAGAGTTTGATCTATTTCCTATCCGAAAGTATGCAATCTGGACGCAGGTGCAGAGAAGTGTAACATAGTAAAAACATTTAACATTTCAGAAATATCTACCATCTGAGCGATTACACAAATTTAATTTTGCAGTTACCTCTGCCGTAAGAGGAGCATGATTTCGGGCAGCATCGGACTCTTTCACAACTAACTTCACGACACTTTTTACGATACATTTCACGACCGCATGAACAGGCCGCAACTGGGATTTTAGAAAAGTTGCTTGCTCAAACGAATTTTTATGCAAAAATTAGTAAAAAATGGATAAAACTAACATTTAGTTCGTCAAGTAGAAGAAACCTACTAAAGGTTCTCCCAAACTTCTTAAAATATACAGTATAGAACATGAACTTTGTATGGTATCAGCGACACCAACCACAGCCGCAGATATGTTTTTTTAATTAAATGGGCTACGTTTTGCGAGCAAAGTTCTTAAGCGCATTTCATATTATGGAATATATAAAGAAAGAGAAAATGTGTCTCATCCTGCCGAAAAGGATCATCGTAGCCGAATAATAGTCACTCAGTTGGTAAGGTGAATGTTCCAAAATTTAAAAAAAAGGTTTCCAGAAAGCGAATATTGTGCTCGCATTGCTTAACGTACCTCTTTGCCTACATTTAAGGGCAGCCGCCGTTCTTTCACTAACTGAAATAAATTTGAACACAAATTTGAAAAACCCAATAGTTAAAGCATTGATTCGGCAACAGCAACGTGCGAGCCGACTGAGAAAATAATTAAAAGCAAAAATGATTCTTAAAGCTTACAATAAATTGCGGAGGTCGATCCAAAATCATGAGAGCTGGCCGTGTTTTTCTCCCAACCTGGAGTTTTAAAAATGCGAGACATTTATAAGGAATACCGAGCGTTGCACACGGCAAACGTGCAAAAAAAGTTTAAAATATTTACTATGCAAAGGTGGATGTTTAGCAAGTCGAAGCTTGCTGTCTACCTTTGACTTTTTCCCTGGATGAACGACGATTCGGGCGTACACCTGAAAAATGCAAAAACGTTTATGCAGTTTTCAAACAATCCTTGAAGTTGCCCGAATAGCTTGATAAGTACGATTGTAGCACTTGGCATTCTAAAACTTACCATGCGAGGATGGCGCAGCGACTACTTCTGTAACTGTTAAAAAAACGTGATAAGTTTATGTTGCCCACTGAGATTTTAACAATGTGATTTATATCTATATATAATTGTATATAATTGTATGAATGATTTTACCTGCGCAGGGTTAAGCAATTTGTCGGCGCGGATCCGTTCTATCTAAAAGTTGTGGAAAGTCCCAGTTTTCTAGCTCTTTTTTTCAGGATGTTAAGTGAATTTATTTAGGCAACCTGGACACTTGATACTCTTTGCCAAAATTATACTTAATGCTGAAATTTCTCAATTCTTGGATTAACATTTTAAGTTTGCGCACAAAACCTGTGTTTTGTCGGATATGCTTCAAGAACATGTGCTTTTCACATTCCTACTACGTAATATAACTTATTTGTGTGATAACTAGGACACTATCACCGCTGAATGCCTCAGATAAATGATCAGTCCACAGTTTACCGAACCCTACGTCTACACAACGTATAGTGCAGAAAAAAATCGTTCTATGTATTTGATGACCTTTGATAAATCCGCCTTCCGATCACCCGTCAAATCTTTACTAAGTTTAACAAAGCACCACTGAGAAACTGTAGATTCAAAAGTCCATAGAGTTAGTTAATTTGTTAACCATATATGCTTGTCATGCGTTTCTGGACAGCGTTGAAATCTAAGATGTACACTTCTCCCTAACTATCTCATGAAGGTGTGTGTTTCTTCGTTACCTTCAAAAAAAATTTATTAAGCCCTCCTTGAACTTACACATATCCGACTTCGGAAACATGTGCCCAAGTGCTCAAAACTATACTGCCTTGCAATTGGTAAGCCTGTTAACTATATGTCCATCAATTTATTGTTTATAATGTCATGGAATGCAATTACCGTATGAGATAAGCAAATTGCAGACACAATTCCTTCAAAAGAAAACGCACCATATGTCAACTCATACCCCGAAGGATTACTTGTCGAGCCTATAAGAATAAAGCATAAAGTCATGTAAGTAGTCAGTCTTTAGAACAGCAAGCATTATAACAATTTGTTTGTTATTTAAAAAGAGAGACAAAAGGCTCATCGATTTGAAATCACCTCATTACCGAATTAATGACTTCTATGCTTCTAACCAGGCGATATCAATGTAATTTTAAACTTAAAAACTATCTCAGACATAGGAAATTTTTCGAATGTAAGACCTGCCATATCAGTTTAAAAAGACATACGATCTACTTACATGCAATTATCTGGTACATGATCTTCAACACCAGGTTTCAGTTGATGCTCGCTTTGCCCGAGAGTAGGTATAAAACCCTTTTTTCATAATTAGTCCCCACGTGACGCAGACAATACGCGTTCAGGTGAGTGGCTCTCTCAGGCAAACTTAAAATTTACACGTCATCCCTTCCACGAATCTTGAGAATAATGAGTAAGCCTGGTACTTAACTTGAATGCACTGTTTGCCGCAGAGGTGAGAGCGACTTTGCGCTCACAACACACCATTTACCCGACAGTGCCACAAAACTGCTCGTGACATGAATTCCCGGATCATATAGAGGGGGGAGGATTGCCCGTTTCAGCTCACATG